GGGTTTCCAAGGCTGTAATCTTTAGGCAAGCAGACTGCTGCATCTTTCTCTTGCAGAAAGGCTGTTGGGTTCCAACCACTGATCTTTCAGTTGGCAGCTGAACACTTAACCACTGCACCACCAGGGCTCCTTTTACAATCCACTTTCCCGTTTACCAAAACTACCCTCTCTGTAACATTGACGATTCTTGACTATCTTTTTAAAACTTCTTTTTTTCCTTTTACAAGTATGATTCTGAATTTGCAGTAATCTGAGGGGCAGTTCTACTTTGTCCTATAGGGTCGCTGTGAGTCAGAATCGACTCCACGGCAACAGGTTTGGTTTGGTTTTGATTTGCCATATACCACTCTGCTCATTCTCTGTCCACATTGATACTCCCTAGACATTCTCTTCTCACCTAAGCAATGGCATTTTCCAAGTTACGTTGATAAAGTGAGAGAGAGAGAGAAAAAGTGAAAGGAAAAGATAGTGAGAGAGAGGAAAGATAATTCCTTCAGAAACCATTTACCCACTGAACCAAAAAACCAAACCCGTTGCCATGAGGTGGATTCCAACTCATAGCGACCCTACAGGACAGGGTAGAATTGCCCCACGGGGTTTCCAAGGAGTGGCTGGTGGGTTCAGACTGCCAGCTTTTTGGTTAGCAGCCAAATGCTTAACCACTGCTAAACCACCGCACCACCAGGGCTCCATTTACCCACAAGGGTTCCATAATTCAGTCTATTCTCATAACACCCTCTGCTAGCCCCAGACTCAATTTTCCAAATACCTGTAAATGGAAATAAAAAAGATAAAACTAAGAGATACTGAGCATTTGTTATGTTCTCATAAAAACCTACTGTCTTCTTACCTCCTTCTTCACTGTTAGACTTTGCTCATCTCAATCATAAAGAAATAAAATTAGAATTGTTTAATTCCCTTTCAACTGCAACAGCCAATCAAATGCTGTTATATAAACTCTCTTGCTGAGCAGCATCTCACATCAGTTCCACACTTCCTTTGCTTTGCTATTGCAACATTGTTAAACATCATCCTGATCTCTGAGCAAGACTATTCAAACAACCTCCTTTAATTTCTGTGTCTTTTTTCTTTCTCTGCTTGAATCAATCCGAAGTATCACTAAAGGCTAAAACTTGATGTCAGTCAAATACTGTACTCAAAACTCCTTCATGAGGCTGTCTTTAATAGTAAGTACAGAATGCCTCTGTCTAGCATTAAAATCCTCCAGCTTTATCTTTTGTGTTCCCTCACCAACAATACTAATGTCTGCACCTACTCCGTACATGCCTGCCTAGTTTTTTAATCAAAGTATTTTTCTTGTCTGTAATTATTTTCAACTTTTCATTACTTTATGTAAAATTTTATCAAGCCTCCAAATAGTGTTTCAGGAAGAAATTTCTCAATTGTTCTTACTATCGTACAGCCCCAACTTCCTCTTATGACACATAAGCAATTTTTTAAATATATATTTCTATTATGTTTGATATTTAGATAAATTACTTGAGACTAAAAATATTCAATATTATGTATATGAAGATGAGTTCTGCTTCTGCTAATGACAATGCAGCTTGTACTGCAGTAACTATTTCTCAGATAATGATGATAAACTAACTTTAAAAATATTTAAAAAAATAATTACTTGAAGGCACTGGAGAATAATTTAGAGCAGACAAAGAATAGAAAGTTTTCACTTGGGGAAACTCCCTAGTTTATGTGGTAAGGAATGGCTAGGACTCAAGCCAAAAGCTACGGGATAACTAGCTTGGAAAGTCATACAACACAGTCTTAATGTGCCAGATCTGCTAAAAACTGAAAGTAGATATCCAGAAACTGAGGGAGGAGCGCTGAAATCTGTGTAGAAACTCTCCCCCGAATCCTTGGCTGATCCCTAAACTCCATGTGCAAGTATACCAGTGAAAAATAGTGTCTGGAATATTGAAAAATATTTTTGGCTGCTGCCCATTGCAAAGAGTTTGAGTCCAGAAAGTAGACTCCTGCTAGAATAAAAATCAACACTCCTCAAAAGATAAAAAAAAAAGATCCAGAATCTCAAAAACATATAATCCACATTGTCCATTAAATAATAATAATAATAAAATACTAGATATGCAAAGAAACAAGATGTAATCCATAGTCAAGTCAACCTGGTTTTGATATGACCCAGAGTAGGAATCGTCACATAAGGACTTTAAAACAGTTGTTATATTCAAATGCTTAAAGGAAAATATAATCATAATGAATAAAACAATGGGGAAAGCTTAGTAAATAAATGGAAACTATAAAAAAAGGGAAGTTATAGAACTGAAAAATACAGTACCTGCAACGGAAAATTAACAATATGGGCTGAACAGCAGATTGGAGACATCAGAAGAAAGTATTAGCTAACATGCAGATAAATCGATAGAATTTATCCAATATGAAAAGATTGAATAAAAGTGAGCAGAGCCTCAGTTATCTATGGGCCAATGCCTAGAAGTCTGATAAATGTATATGTTAGAATCCCTAAAGAAGAGAACAAATGAGGGAGAAATATTATTTGAAGAAATAATCACCAGAAAAATTCCAAATTAGGTTAAAAACATTAAACTTATAGATCCCGTTATCTCAGTTACCCAAGAAATACAAGTACAAATCTGCTATAGACACACACATAAGCATACTATAGAAAAACTGATGAAAACCAAAGATTAAAAAAAAAAATCTTTACAAACATAAGACAATTACAACAGGGTAACATCAATATGAGTGAAACCCAACTTAACATCAGAAACAACAGAGGTTAGAAGACAATGAAACAACATCTTTGTAACACTGAAACACAAAAATAAAAACAAACCAAAACAATAAGAACAACAAAAAAATCTGTTAACCCAAATTCTATATCCAGAAAAAATATCCTTCACAACTATAGGTGAAATAAAGGTATCTTTAGATAAATGAAAACTCAGCGAACTTGTTGCCGGCAGATTTGCACAAGATGAATTACGCATGTATCTTCCAACTTTGCACTCTCTTGATTTGCCTTCTAAATCTCTAAAGTTCTCCCATTATACCATCTGCCTTGTTTCTGTAAAATAATTCAGTAAACACAGTGTCCTGTATTTGTGTATGCTACTGAACTTTAATCTACAACTAGTGGTGGTTAGTTAATATTTGAAATATGCTAATCAAAAATCCTCCCTATAAGGATAGTTAACTGGCTGAAGTACCTCAGTCAGGGGCACTCTCCAGGGGCTGCTAGAGTAAGCATTTCAAATATTGCTAATTATATTGTACTTGAGGTTTTGTTAACAAGTATAAGGAATATCAGTAAATAATTTTTCACTACTGACATGAATGGTGTTCTTTATATGTGATGGCTAGAAATATTTTATTGTTGCGGTTTCCCTTTGCTAAATGGGGTATTTTAATCAGGAGAGTCTGGCTGCTTAACTATAATACTTTGTAGAGCGCTGTCTGATCTGTGCCGCTAGTTTAAGGTAGGACTCTGCCTTCCAACCTGAATGACAGTGAAAAAAGATTCTGACATCAGAGTATGTTTCAGAGTGAAACTCTGAAGTAAGGTGCTTAAAATTGTGCCTAACATAAATGAAATTTGGGAGTTCACCCGGCTTGGAAGAACAGGTTGTATGACTGATTTTGAGCCTGCTTGCTGGTAAATATTATATATGTAGCCTAATTTAGTCTAGGACTTGCTTTCATTATACCATATCACCTAGTGGTGGCGACATATAGTTCTACCCCTTCTAAAATTTACCTTAAGTCAGTTTAGAATCTTCTTCCCACACTGTCTTAGTTATCTAGTGCTGCTATAACAGAAATACCACAAGTGGTTGGCTGTAACAAACAGAGATTTATTCTCTCACAGTCTAGGAGGCCAGAAATCCGAATTCAGGGCGCCGGCTCCAGGGGAAGCCTTTCTTGGTAGCATGAGGTCCCCTGTTTCTCTGCTCGCTTCTCTTTTTTATATCTCAGAAGAGATTGATTTAAGGCACAACCTAATCTTATAGATTGAGTCCTGCCTTATTAACATAACTGCCTCTAATCCTGCCTCATTAACATCATAGAAGTAGGATTTACAACACATAAGAAAATCATATCAGATGACAAAATAGTGGACAATCACACAATACTGGGAATCATGGCCTAGCCAAGTTGACACATATTTTGGGAGGACACAATTCGGTCCATGACATACCCACACCCCACCATTACCACCTCACCTGGCTGGGATAAAAGTTAAATACAAAATAAAAAAGCCTTCGTTCCTCCCTTGTAAAATACCATTGTATTGGTTTCCTAGGGCTGACATCATAAAGTACCACAGTCTGGGTGGCTTAAAACAATAGAAATGTATTATGACATAGTTCTAGGGGCTAGAAGTCTGAAATCAAGGTGTTAGCAAGGTCATGCTCTTTCCACAGGCACCTAGGAAAGACACTTTCATCTCTACCTCCGTGTTCACATGGCAGTCTGCCCTCTGTGTCTTTTCTCTTTTACAAGGACATCGCTCATACAGTATTAACGCACCCTACTCCAATATGCTCATGTTAACTTAATTGGTGACATTGTCAAAGACCCTATTTCCAAACAAGGTCACGTTCACCGGTATCGGGGGAGGGGAGGGTGTTAGGAATTGATACAGCCTATCACTTTGGGGGACACAATTCAATCCATAACAAATATGTATCTCCAAGCTAATGAAAACATAAATAAGAACAAACAGAGAACACAGTTTGATATTAAGAAATACTTGTTAAATAGGCAAAAAGTAAACAAAATTGTTCAGTGAATGAATACATAAAGAATCAATTGGTTTATAGATGACAAGGATTTTAATGATAGATCACAAAAATAACTTTTTCTGTCCCAAGCAAACTGAATCAGTATATCACAAACACTTTTATCTTGCCTGAGAAGAAATGCCACAAACTTTCTTTTAAAAACAAAGTTGTCTCGAGCATTACTTTTATCGACAGCAATGTATGGAACTGTCTTACCCCCAAATGATATCCAACTCTGATGAAGGCACAAAGAGGGTCAAATGCTCCAGTACCACAGGTCAGAAGATGTGTCCTATTATAGTGATGCAAAACCCGAACATAATTTGCACATTCACTCTAAAGCAGGAAAAAAATAAAGAAATTGGTTACCGTAATAAATATGTTCAGTCCTGTTTTGTTTTTTGTTTTTCTTAACCCTAAAGGAGTAGGTTAAAAAGAGGACAAGACTAGTGGAAGAAGAGACTGGGGTGACCAATGCATATTTTAGCTGCAGTAATGTATGAATTACATTTCATAATAGGAGGAGATTGTTTTTCATTTATTCTACACTTGGGGGGAAAAAAAAGCACTGTTCAGAATTTTATTCAAGGGTAAAGATTTGCATGACAATATGTTCCACTAAGTAATTAAGTTATTCCCAATGCTGCTATTTTTTTTTAAGTAAGCACAATATAAACAATGAATCAGCATCAAGTCAGAAAGAAAATAATTAGCAAAAAAAAAGCTTCATTATCTATAAGAAAATATACACAGACTTTTAGGGCATTACTTAATTTTGACATTTGGAAAAATAAGTCATATACTCAAAATCACGAATTCACACAAAGCATTTTAATAGAGAATTTTCAAGTAAATAGAAAGCAAACCATTAGAAGTAACATTTTAAACCTATTACTGTTAGATTGAGGCCCTGGTGGCTCAGTGGTTAACAGCTCAGCTGGTAACCAAAAGGTCAGCAGTTCAAATCCACCAGCCGCTGCTTGGAACACCATGGGGTAGTTCTACTCTGTCCTATAGGGTCGCTATGAATCAGAATCCACTCGACAGCAATAGGTTTGGTGAGTTTTTTGGTAGTGTTAGGTTACGGTCCAAGGCTTGGCAAATTTTTTCTGTAAAGAGTTAGATAATAACCTTTTCTGTAAAGAATCAGATATTTGGCTTTGTGGATCATCTGCGCTCTGACTCAAGTGCTAAATTCTGCAACTGTAGCATGAAAGCACCAAACATAATATGTAAATGAATGTGTGTTGCTGTGTTCCAATAAAACTTTATTTACAAAAATAGATGGAGGCCACATTTGGATCAGGAGCTCTAGTTTGCTGACACTTGGATTGGACCAAGATTCTAGAGAACAGAATCTCTATTTTACACAGTTTTTTTTTTAATTTCCCAGTTAATCAAACACAGTACCTTATGCGTACTAAATGCTTTACAGAGTTTTAATACATCAGTCATTAGGTGAGTACTATAACGAGTATGCTGAATGAAAAAAAAAGAATTTAAATTGTTTCAAGACCAACTTGGCTAAGTAAATTCTAGCAAACACACTCCTGGCAAATTGTTTTTGTTAGTTGCCATCCAGCCAACTCCAACTCATGACAACCTTATGTCTAACAGGACAAAATGTTGCCCAGTCCTGCGCCATCTTCATGATCATTGGTATGTTTGAGTCCATTGTTCAGTCTATTGTGTAGTGACTTCCAGCTTAAGGGCTTATCTTCCAGCATGGTATCAGATAATATTTTGTTGTGATCCATGAAGTTTCACAGGCTAATTTTTGGAAGTGGATTGCCAGGCCTTTCTTCCTAGCCTGTCTTAGTCTGGAAGCCTCACTGAAACCTGTGCACCATGGGTGACCTTGCTGGTGTCTGAAATGCCAGTGGCACAGCTTCCAGTATCACAGCAACACGAAAGTCACCATAGTATGACAAACTGACAGATTAGTGGTGGCAAATTAGGTATTGCTGTTTCATTTATAATATATTATGAGAGAAAGGCTAAGCTCTTTTAGTGGCAACTACTACTTTGAGATCAAAGCATGCAATAATCAGTAAGTATAATGTTTATAAGGGTAGATTGTGATTTCAAAACTTTCAAGTCTCTCATACAACAGTATTAGGATGAAAAGGCCGCAGACCCACTTTACAATAAGTGATTCAGATAATAGCAGGCCCTCAGCAAAAACAAAGAGTGAGTTACTGAACTGATTATCCAGGACACGCATACTTACTTCTTTAGTTTCTCACTCACAGAACATTTTATTCTGCAGGTGACCCACATAGTTGATACAATTTGATCATTCAGGCATGGTGAAAATACCCTGCTCTCATATTGCCCTAAGCACCTGCTTTGCCTTACTTGAAACACTGTCACATCTTGATGTGAGCCAGTTAGACCTCATCTTGGCTCATAGGAGCTTAGATTGACAAGGGCAAAGTGTGTGTTCAATTAGTCAGCATTACGCTGTGGACTCAGGCAGCGAGGAATGTGTTGACTCATTCCTTGGCTTTGACCCAGTTGCTACAGAGAATGAGGAGTTGGTATCATGTGTGTTTGTCTTCTACATAGTCTTTTTGTTTTTTACTGGAGGAAAGAATAAGTTCACTTTCAAAAGGAGATGTGCATGTTTTCTCTGAAGATGTGTACAGAGTGATCAGCCAGCTCTTCCTGGCATGGGATGGTCAGTCGTCCTTCTTTGACACTCACGTGTTTGAGTGTGTCAGGGACCGTGTCAGGGATGCTGCCGATGCACAGCATTCTCCCACTAGCACAGGGCAGGGAAGCTATGGAGAAACGGAATATTGCTTCTCTAAGTAGGAGAGAGCCTCAACCATTTTGGAATAGGTGAAACATATTCACTGCCTTTTCTTAAATTTTTACTCTCTCTCCTTTTTGTTTTTTTTTCTTAATTTGTTTCACTAGATTTCCTGATTTACAAATCAAAGTGAGATCTCACAGAAAATAGTACCTAGCTGTTCTTCAAATTAAAAAATTACCTGCAGTTATTTTTCTCCCAAGTACCTAAGAAATAAATGTTAGCCTAAAGAAATTTATAAATTTCAGTTGAATAAAATATAATAAAACATTCACTCCAGCTCTACACTGAGACGGATTTATTTATATGATTTTTCTTCATCATGAACTAAATTGCATAGATCCCTTTTAAGAGCAAATAAAAGTTTAGTGACTCAGTTGTTTGTGGTTAACTAGGGGTATAATTGATTTGTTTAACTTACAATGAATAATACTTACTGCATCTTTTCCCTTCATTATGCATTCTTCTGTTTTTAGTGCTGTACTAGGCCAGTGCATCTGAAACAAAAGATAATGTACTATCATGGCAACTGCATATAAAAATAAACCAAATGAAAAACCATTTCAGTCTTTTCTACAATTCAATAATTTTCATTTTGTTCTACTTTCTCATTATTTGCATAATTAAGAAACTTACCTCTGAGCTTTTACTTCAGGCTAAATCTTATTTTAATATATTTTTGAAGGTTCACGTTAAGGCTGAGCCCATCAAAGGCCGACCACACTGAAGCCAGCCTTTCCCTCTACTTACCCTGTGGTCACCTCTGCTTTCTAGTCTTTCTCCTGAACCTGTCTGTGCCTCCAATGCAGGCACCTCATTGAATTCTTTACCATTTCCTCATCTTTACCACCTCGCACAGAACCTGGTGTGTGGCAGACTCTCACTCATGTTTGCTGCATCAAAAGATTAAAGGATGAACAATTTTTTGAATTCTTTTTTATAATGTATCACCCAGTAATAAATCACACTACATCTTTGATTGTTTTTCAAACATTATTTAACTCTACTAGCTTTCAAATGGGTTTCAGGAAGTTTTCTTCCTTGAAAAGAGAGATATGTCAAATATCTATGTTTTTTCATCTCTACTAGTACCTAGCACTTTTCCGGGACTGCAGGAAGAAATCAATAAGTACCTGGTGACTGATTCCACAAAATGCTAACAGTGGAATTTCTTTTCTTTTTTTTAATTGTGGTTTAGGTGAAAGTTTACAGAGCAAATTAGTTTCTCATTAAACAGTTAATACACAAATTGTTTTGTGACATTGGTTGCCAACCGCGGGATGTGTCAACACTCTCCCCTTCTCCGCCACAGGTTCCCTGTTTCCTGTTTCCATTCGTTCAGTTTTCCTGTTCCTTCCTTCCTTCTCGTCTTTGCTTTAGGCAATTGTGCCCATTAGTCTCCTGTGCATGAACTGAACTATGAAGCCCTTTCCTCACATGTGTTATTGTTGGCCCTATAGACCTGTCTAATCTTTGGCTGAAAGGTGAACTTCAGGAGTGACTACAGTACTGAGTTAAAAGGGTGTCCGGAGGCCATCCTCTTGGAGTTTCTCCAGTCTCTGTCAGGCCAGCAAGCTGGGTCTTTTTGTGTGTGTGTGTGTGAATTTGAATTTTATTCTACATTTTTCTCCCGCTCTGCCTGGGACCCTCTGGTGTGATCCCTGCCCAAGTAGTCAGTGCTGGTAACGGGCACCATCTAGTCGTTCTAGGCTCAGTCTGGTGGAGGTTATGGTAGTTGTGGTTCATTAGTCCTTTGACTAATCTTTCCCTTGTGTCTTTGGTCTTCTTCACTCTCCTTTGTTCCAGCTGGGATGGGACCAGTAGATGTATCTTAGATAGGTGCTTGCAGGCTTTTAAGACCCCAGTCACTACTCAATCAGTCGGGTGTAGAACATTTTCTTTATAAGCTATGTTATGCCAGTTGAGCTAGATGTCCCCCAAGACCATGGTGTCCAGCCCTCAGCACATTAGCTCCATCTCTTAGGGTGTTTCCTAACTTGTTTTGACTTTGCAGAGAATGTTGAGATCTGAGTTTGCTAAGATTTGAATCACTTGCTTTGCCTCTTTCAAAGGGAAATTTTCTTTACCACTTGAGATGCATGGTCTGTTATGCAATTCCTATATTGTGACACTATGCCAATACTATATCGATGCTGGTCCATGGGAATACACCTAGACCCCATGAAGAGCCAAACACATTTGTAAGAAATGATAGTAGGATTAGGATAATATTAGATGATATTATGTATGACCAAGGAACCCAGCAAGATACAAATCCTGCTTAACTCAAGTCATGCCTGTCCATGAGGAGTTCCAGGAGATACAGGCAGAAAGGAAGAAGTAATGCAAACACATTATGGCTATGTAAGGCTTTATTTCTAAACTATAGCAGGGTGGTCAGAAGGGCCTGAACACACACAGGAGAACACACACACTCCAAAGTTCAAGAACACATTTTGAAAGAGACGTTTTGTGTCGGGTTGGAAATAGAACTCACCCTAATGGTTAAAAAATAGTGGGGATTTTAATGACGGGACTGCCTAGAGAGGTGTACACACACACACACACCCGCTGCCATTGAGTCGATTCCGACTCATAGCAACCCTATAGGACAGAGTAGAACTGCACCATAGAGTTTCCAAGGAGCCCCTGATGGAGTCGAACTGCTGACCTTTTGGTTAGCAGCCATAGCTCTTAACCACTACGCCCCCAGGGTTTCCATAGGGTTAAAGTAACAGAGTAAAGATGGTGAGGCACCCAGAGAGGAGCCACAGTGGGAAGCTGTTACCATACCTAGTGCTGAAGAAGCGAGGGGGGAAGTACCATTACAAAGCCCAGTGAGAACTGGAACCACAGGAGGAACTTCCAGTAGGAGTTCTGACTGTGGAAAGGCAGAGATGAGGGGCCAAAGCCAAGAAGAGGGGGGAAGAAATATTCTGCTCTCTCTCTGTTCCTGTCATCTGAACACCCATCAGCACTTCCCACTGATGGAGCCCAACTGTAAGCCAGCCAGAGTATGGTAGATGCAGTATGCAGGGATCACACCCCCAGGGCACAGAGCTGCAGAAGGGGCAGAGAATGATCTAGGGGTGAAGTAGGGTGGCTCAAATGGAAAATAACCAGTAGAGTCCTCAATGGGGAGAATGAGGTTACACCTTCCCAGCAAAAGCCTTTCTTTCTCCATGTTGGAGTCTGCACAACCCCACTCAATGTTATCAAAGTGTGGGGTGCAAGGTAAGATTTAGCAGATATTTTTGTCAAGCAAAGAGAATACCTTGATCATCCTCAGTCACCCATATTAGGGAAGAATATTGATAAAAGAATAAACAAGGCAAATTAACATTCTTTTACTAGTTACTTGCAGACCCAAATTCCAAAGGATAGGTGTTTTAGCCTAGGCTATAGAACTTTTTCCATAATTTGTTATGATCCATACAGTCAAATGCCTTTGCATAGTCAATAAAATACAGGTAAACATCTCTCTGATATTCTCTGCTTTTTTCTAAGATCCATCTGACATCAGCAATGATATCCCTCATTCCACTTCCTCTTCTCAGTCTGGCTTGAATTTCTGGCAGTTCCCTGTTGATGTACTGCTGCAACCGTGTTTGAATTATCTTCAGCAAAATTTTACTTGTGTGTGATATTAATGATATTGAAATTGCTTTATCATTTTTTTCCCAGGCTGCTTCTGTTCTTTTTGCTTAAACTATGGGGTTAATCATAATATGTACCAGTCATTGTGCTAAGACTTTTTGTTTGTTTGTTTTACAAACTCATATGCAGAAGTTTAAGTTTGTTATACTACTCAATTTGTAGCTCATTATCATAAGTGGTCTTGAAAGGTGTCTATCTTATTTTAATTACTTTTTTATCCCAACCCCTTGCTCTCCTTGCATCCCTTCTTATGAGGCAATCATTCTACCCTGTTACTGGATATTTGTTTGTTTGTATGTATTATTATAAAGTGCTTATTATTGCTTTTTAAATGCATATATTTTTAATTGATGTAAATGGTAATGGATTGTATATCACATCTGTTTCTTACCTTTTTCACTAAGAAATGAGTTTTTAAGAACTCTCTATATTCCTATAAAGAGTTGCCTCTAATCATTTTTTAATAGTCAGAGTATGGATCCCCCACATTTTGTAATCTACTCCTAGTGATGGGAGCTTAGATTGCCTCCAAATCTATACCACATCAAACATTGCTACATCTTCGTACATATCCCTTTAGTATCCGTGTGAGACTATCATTGGTGTATATAACCAGGGGCAGATTACTGGGTCTTAGGGTAAGCATAAAGTGAATCTGTGAATGTAGTGCCAAATTGCTCTCCAGAATGGCAGCATGTCTATATTCTACCAGTAAGCCTATATCCTCATGTCCTCACCAAATTACTATTGGTTTTCTAACTTTTTGTGCTGCAACTCATGGTCACCTTAAGTATAACATAATAAAACATTGTCTGGTTCTGGATCATCTTCATGATTGTTGGTATGTTTGAGTCCATTGTTTTAGGTATTGTGTCAATCCATCTCATTGAGGGTTTTCCTCATTTTTGTTGGCCATCTACCAAACATGATGTTAGTTTGTTGTATTGTGATGGCTTGCAGGTTGCTATGATGCTAGAAGCTATGCCACTGGTATTTCAAATACCAGCAGAGTGACCCATGGTGGACAGTTTTCAGGAGCTTCTAGACTAAGACAGACTAGGAAGAAAGGCCTGGCAATCTACTTCTGAAAATTAACCAATGAAAACCCTATAGATCTTCCCCTTAAGGTCCCTATTGTCCTTCCCTGCTATTTCTCCACTCCCTCAACCCACACTCATACCCTAGTGAGCACATTAAATTATTTTTTAATTAGTGATCAACATTAAAAATGAGTAATTTCACATAAAAATCCAGATTTCTGGTTTCCCTAGAAACATCTGAAGACAAGCAAAACTGAAAATGCTTTCGTGTGTGACAACATTCCTCTGGACTTGAAACTTTGATGTTTTCTTTCAATGGGACAGGCACTCTCTGATATGCTTCAGACTTTTCTTTCATCTGTTTGGCTCCTGTAGGCATTTTAGTTTTTGAAATCTGTTGGATATGTTTGAATCCCAAATATGGTCATGATTTAATGATTGTGTTTCAAGCTGTGCCCGTAAAATATCAGGTAAGGCATTTATATGCCAGAAGTAGGAGAGACTAGCTTGTCACTTAATTCACACATTATGTAGCCAAATCCGGTCCCTAGTACATAAAAATATTGGAAATTTATAAAAGTTGTGATAATAGCATCATATTATGATGATCCTTATGTGATTAGACTTATCACAGGCATAAGCATTCTATAATTTAAATTATAAATGCAAAATATTACTTTTATTCTCTTATTAGTGTAATGGACCCCCAAAGGGTTTCTCACTAATAATATTCAGCATTCAGTATCCATTTGCTTTCATAGGGTAGCATATATACGTTTGAATGAAAGCACATGAGGTTT